AGCTTATGATCGTTGGTTGCTAGTTTACTTTTCGCGCAATGGCCTTCACGAAAGGTCATCAGCAGCTTGGAATGCGTTGGCATTTTTGGGATGCATCAAACATGAGAATTGACATCTTTGATATCGTGATGTTCGACATCTTACTCAATGTCGCGGGCATTGTCAACATCCAAAACTGCTATGAGAAATTATCGTTTTCTTTGGATGCAATAGTTGCACGAGTGGATGTATGAACGGACGGTGCGGTGCAAATATGGGCTTGTAACCAAAGTGAAGCTCATGAGCTGCTGCATAAGTTGGAAGAGAAGGAATTGCTGTTCGAATGAAACTACCTGCAACTACAATAACAAGTCCTGCTTCGAAGTTTGATCGCATTCAAGTTCAAAAATCTAACTTGGGAAAGTCCTCCCTAGTTGAACAAAACCAGATCGACAATTTCAATTTGACCTGAAACCAGTTCGAACTGTTCCATGCTCGAGTGTCGACAGTAGCAAAATGAAGTCTGCTCGTTAGGCTATTCAACTCGACTATTTCGATCTCTTTGTTTACTCAATTACTGAATTTCAAATTAACCATCGCTATCATCCAATTGTAAAGCTCCTAAATGAGTACATTAAGAATGACCACATGGCTGGAGTGTAGCCATCTTGGAATCCAGAAATGTACTTCTGCGTCCTCAATCTATACTCGATGTATATATCAATTCTCTCCACAACTTTTCGGCAAAAAACAATACCATAATAAAAGAAACTATAAGTGTGAACGTTCTTGAGTTATCACTAGCACTGGGACGATGAGCTTAGCTGAGCAAGCTGGAACAAACATCTTGAGATGAATCCCAGCGTCTTCTTCTGAACCAATGCGAGACGGAAGGTGTCAAGGCATTCATCAAAGCCACAGTCTTCGTAAATAGATCGACCGTATAAATTGGAGGCGATTAACTAGGGAGCGAGAGAGAGACACTGAACCCCTTGGTGGTGCGAAGGAGGTCGGGAAATTTTGTAGAGGAGGAACACCAAGAGGAGCAGCACTAGGATGACGACGACGACGTTGATGTCTCTCTTCAGACAAACCAGAAATGACATGTGGCTGCGGACGACCACACTCCCCGGAAGAAGAAGAAGAAGAGCAGTAAGAGCGGACCAAGCCAGCTTGTTTGGAGCACTCGAAATACTGAGTGATTGGAAGCGTGAAAGAGCACCTCTGCATCTTTCAAAGGTAAAACAAAAACGCAAAAGAGGAGAAAGAGCGGGTGAAGAAGCTCTTGAAAAGAAAAGAAGGGAGAGAGTTTTAGAAACGTAAAAGGAGAGAAAAGGTATAGAAGGTAGAAGCTCCTGAAAATTGAAAAGAAGAGAGGGAGTTTTAAGCGGGTTATCATTTATTGTTGTGTCCTTTTTCACCCACTCTGCAGTCTACTAGCCGGCTAGGGAAAAGAAGGAGAAAGCTTTGGATTTTAATTTTTTATTTTCTTTCCATGTCCATGTCAGAGGACATGTGTCACTCTCCGAGTGGAGCCAACTAAGCTCATATATGCCATGTGGGCCGGTGACGTGGTGAGCAGCAACCACTGAATATTTTCTCGTCCCCCGCGAACTAGGTTCCTACCGTATCGCTAACGATGGAAAATCAATTTCTCGAAATAAAATATTAAATTAATACCACCAAAGAAAAATCCCAAATTATGTCCTCCGCTTTTATTTTGTCGCAAAAAATCCCGAAGCATAAGAAGAAAAAGTTCGGGGCATTAATGTCACAGTAAGCAAATTTGGCATTTTTTATTACGCAAAATAAAGTTTCAAGTATTTATATCACGGCAGGTATAATTGGGGTTTTCTTATGGTATATTTTCCCTAAAATATTCATCGTAAATATTTTTAAAGGTTAATGCCAAGAAAAACCCAAAACTGATAAATCTGTGATAAATTTACCATAAACTAAGTTTTTTACCATTAAAAACCCCAAATTGGTACATATGTGACAAATTTACCCTCCGTTAGTTTCCGTTAAATTTTACCATCAAATTACTTAGTTAAATGACACATAACGGTTGACGAATATACCAATTTGGGATTTTACCCTTATGTTTGTCATAGATTTTCCAATTTATGATTTTTCATGGTATTGATCTAATTTAACGGAAGGTAAATTTATCACAAGTGTATCGGTTTGGAGTTTTTGGTGGTCAAAAAATTAGTTTAGGATAAATCTGTCGAGGATATTTCAGTTTGAGGTTTTTTATGGTATTAATCCTATTTTTAAAGGGAGTGGCTAGGATAACGGTGCCGTTATATTGAATTTTTGACCGTCGAATGCCGGCCACAATTTTTAATGGAGGAAAAATGGGAGACTAGTTCGACCGGTTTCAAATTTTTTGACTTTCTATCAATTTTTTTAGAATTCCAAACACCATCCTCTGCGACCAAAATTAAAACTTGGCAAGATCTAACCAAGTTAGCAAGACCAACAAAAAATAAGAACCGAAATTCAAGAGCAATCTGACGCGTTCTGGAAGGCAAAAGCGGAGGAGAGGCAATCGGCGACGGCTCGCCTCAGTGACTCGTTGGGCTTCTTCACCAGAAACGATATCAGCCTCGAAATTGTTGTGACGTAATAGTGCTTGTATTTGCAAAAACAGAGTTGTTCGACAAACCTGAAATCACGCTCTGACAAGTAATCCGAATGTCGACGAATGATTCGAGCCTGACGAATGATTCACGTTGTGTCTTTAAGACAATTTGTCCCCTCTACCGGTACCCAAGGTTATTGAACAATTGTCTCCCAGGATAGAACGAATTCACTCGTGCGGCTTCTTCACTAAAAACGATATCAACCTCGAAATGCCCTAATCAACGACGTTGTTATCCTCGCCGCTGAATTGGCGATGCTTGAGCTGCTTCTCGAGGAGCTGGATATGAAGGACATGGATATGCTGTCCGGAATCCAATTCTTCCCCAAGCAACTCGAAGGCTTTTCGATGGTGAGATTCAAGTGAAGTCACAATACAAAGTGAGAGTGAGTGTGCGCGTGTTGAGTTTGTTCTTTGCCCCTACATTTGAACAACAATGAAAACTACCATTGGTTTTGTAAAAGCGAAAATTGGGGTGAGATTTTCGGGTGTGTCTGTTTGAATAAAAAGAAGCGAATAAGTTTTTCGGACTTTTACTCATTTAATTTGCCGAATACGATCAATCAACATAAAATCATTTATGGTCAATGCATTTTTAAAGTTAGGGAAACAAAATCCCTAATCGGAAAATGGGAAATCGAAACATTTTCCAGAAAAACGATTTCTCGAAAAATAAAAATGATTTTTGGAAAGTATTTTTTTATAGTAAATTTTTTCCGCAAACAAATACTACTTTCAAACTAGGAAATCCCACCCAAAGTCACAAAAAATATAAAACCGGACTAGCCCGTGCCCCAGTTTTCAACTTTGAGATTAGTGGCTGACAAATGCACCGTCAATTTTGTAAAGTAACGGGACGGTGAATTTATCATTTTCCATTTTTAAATACGAGTAGATCAAAAAGTAAATAATCAGTCTAGGCTCCAATCGTTTCGCGGAAAATGTTTTCCAGGAGTTTTCCGGTGTTCGGGAGCGGAAAACATTTTCAGGCCGGCGAGGCTCGAGCTCACCAAATTCCAGCGAGGCCGAGCTCGCCCAAGGTCAGCGAGCCTTACCCATTTTTCCCAAGTTTTGCAGGATAGAAGATGATGTAAGATAAAAATAAAACAGAAACAAGGGAAGGCCCATCATCGATCACGTCGTGGTCCATAGCGTTACGAGCGGGAACGTCACAAGGGTTTAAGATAGACTTGGCCCACTATCGATATTTATATATCCACCAATTCATCATTCCCTTATATGTTATCCACCAAAATAAAAATAAAATACAAATAAAAAAATTTTGCAATCTATAGTTATGTGTATTATCTTATATTATATATATCTAGAAGACTTTCGAATTTTGGTGCCCGCCCCCGCATTTGAGATCATTCCCTCTCATCTATTAAGTTGGTGAAGTAGTTGAAGCGTGGGATTTAACATTTTACCAATTTTGCGGTTACACTAATAACCCGAAAAACGAGTGTTAGAGGCCAGAAAGAAAAGTTACGTTGAGTATAAATATGAGAAAATAATGCCGTTTGATGTGGCCCGGTGACCGGGAAATTGGGAGGCGAGGATGTTGGTATGATAGGTGTGGAGTTCGACATCCGTGTTCTACAAAAGAGGCAGAGCAAAAAGTCTCAAAAGGATAGGAGAGTTAGAGATTTTTGTGCAGATAGAAAGACCCTTTAAAATGACTGTCTCTACAAGAAAACACAATAGATATGTGTGGCGAACAAGACAACGCGCATGCGAAAATCAAGAACAAGCCGACGTGGCAGTGTGCCACGGAGAACAATCAGCAATGACTAGATCACCATGTCAGCGATGTTCTCTTTTCTTTTCGTTTCTTTTCTCACACAAAATTTGACAACACATTTAAGGTAAAATTCCGAAGGGAAATTGAGTAATTGTTGAACTCATTTTTCCGTAACTCTGGTATATATCCCGGAGGTAAAATAGTACCTTAAGAATAGTGATGATCATCACCGCACATCAAAGCATCAAAGAACTATACACTATTGTTCTATCTTTATCGGCAATCAAACATCCCCAATTTTTATAAGATCAAGGTCTAAGAATACCAAACCAGATGCTGAAGTTGGGATGGACGCACAAGTTGGGGCAAATTACTAGACAAGAGGGGTCGATTCATTAATAGCACGTTGACATAAGTTCCTCTGAGAGGATTCGAGTGTATATACGCATCGTGACCCAACACAAATTTGTTCCAATCAACGTTTACTGATCATAATGAAACCATGGAAAAAGTCTTGGAGTGCAATAAATCCTCGTGAGGATCCCCACATGGAGATTGTTGGTCAACTCTCGTCCCTAGACATTGGATCCATCCCCATCGCAGACGAATGTTAAAATACACAAATGACAGCTCTTGCATCTCCAATGGTTTTGCTCATGGAAGTCCTCGAATGTTGACTACACATACACAAACACACCCTCAGATTCACTCACAGTCTCGACGTGTGCTCACGAACTGCAATGCTTCCATGTGTCTGATCGAATACTTAAAGAACACGGAGTTGGCCTCGTTTTAATTTATCAAAGTCCTCGCGCAAGCAACCACCTAACCTCACTCTCCTACTTCACAGTTGTAGTTAGTGTTTAGTACTACCAAGCACTACTTCAAACGCATCCCATGGTTTAAGTACTGACCCTTCTCTTGAGCTGCACTCACATTGCAAGGAAGGAGGGAGAAAAACATGAGAGGCCCGTCGCTGCTTTTCGGCGTGCTATGCTTCTTTGGTGTCGTGACCGTCGGAGTGAATGCAGGGAAAGCGGCGTGCCACGATCCGTTTTTCGGCAAGTGTTACGGAATCGTCCACACTTGTCCACCTGCTTGTCCTAGACTCTGCGAAGTAGATTGCAGACTCTGTAAACCTTACTGCGGTAAGAATTGGATTCTTTTTGCCTCCTTACCAACTTTCTTCATGAAAGTTCACGAGTAATTGATAACTATTCGCACCGCCTATTTCCTTAGAATGAACACAATTTACTGCAATTCAATTCTGGGTCTACAATTAAAGAGCGGGACTCAGATCCTCATTTTGTCCTACGTCCTTCACTCTTATGTGTTCTTGCATTGCTGTTCCTATCTTCTTATAGTCTCAATCACATTATAGCATTCATAGTAATGTTTTAATGAACTTCTTTTGGATTAAAACTAGCTTGCGATAGGCCAGGGGCTGTGTGCCAAGACCCACGATTCATCGGAGGTGACGGGGTCATGTTCTACTTTCACGGCGAGAAGGACAAAGACTTCTGCTTGGTTTCTGATCCTGGCATTCACATCAATGCCCATTTCATTGGCAAAAGTAGTAGCAGGGGAAGGGACTTCACCTGGGTTGAGTCTGTTGGCATCTTGTTCGGGTCCCATAAGCTTTATATTGGTGCACGACGAGTTTCAAAATGGGAAGAGTCGGTGAACAATATGCTGATCCGGTTTGATGGAGAAGAAATCAAGGTGCCAATAGGCGAGGGCCAAAGATGGTGGTCACCAGAGACAGGACTGGAGATCCGACGGCCTATGACGAATAACAAGGTGGAAGTCAAAATGGAAGAGTTGTTCACAATAGTTGCTCGGATAGTACCTATTACAGCAGAGGAATCTCGGGTGCATGGATATAATGTGACTGAAGACAACTGCTATGCCCATTTGGAGCTCAACTTCAAATTCTACTCACTGAGCCAGAGTGTAGATGGAGTACTTGGGCAGACCTACAAGACAAATTACCAAAGTAGAGTCAAAATAACAGCACCAATGCCGATTATGGGAGGAGCGGACAGATTTGCTGCTTCTGATCTCTTCGCAAGGGATTGCGCAGTTTCGAGCTTTGGGTCGAAACTGAACCCCGATTCAGTGATAAATGAAGAATCATTCGAGGTTGCATGTGGAAGTGCAAATGGAGGAAGGGGAATTATATGCAGAAGGTAAGTGGTGATGTAAGAAAATATATGGCTATAATATTTGTTTGGATCACTTATTTTCTTATAAGAACAAGTGAATTGTAATCCCTGCCGAAGAGAATGTGTGAGTTCTTTCCTAGTATCTCTTTCACGTATTTTATCGTTCTAAGGCTATGACAGGAAATGATGCCAAAGAATATCTTTGGAGATCATCTCCATCCATGAAGACCCAACTTTTTTCTAAGTATTGGTAGGTGAATGTAGCACTACTTCCTTTGGCTCTAAAGGTAATTTGTCATTAGAGGAAAACATCCAGGATATTTTTTTTGTGAAGTTATTAAGACATCAATCATAGAGGCATTTAATTCTGCCGCATTGAATCTAAGCCACATATCCATAATATGAAGGAAAATAGATTCCTGTTTTTATTCACGACTCGTTCATGTCTACCTAGCCTTTGGCGGAGCGGGCAAGAAGTTTATTCTGTTTCCAACACTAAATTATTACAGAACGGCAACCTGTCTCAGTTAGAAATTGCCAATCAATCACAAAGCTTTGCATTGAACTATATATCTGCTGTACAGATTCTTACCTCCTTAAAAAAGACTAAAAGAATAACTTACATCAGGTGTAGTTTTGTTGATAGTAACTCAGCCAAAATTGAAACGTGAGTCACCAGTAGTCACCACACGAACATATTCCATCAGTAAAATGGTGAAACCGCTTTGGATCTCGAATTATGATGGTGCGATTTTCAATCAACGATATAATCTTGGCAAAGCCATGACAGTCACCACAAATTCTCAGATTCTTCCTTATTATTAACGTTCTACCTGGGTTAGTCACCAAAATCCCAAATGAGATTGCTAACTTCTCGCAGTGTTCATTGATCATATCCTTTTTCAACTCCTCATCAACATCATGCAAGACAAATTCTGTTTTAGGAGCAAGTCCAGCCTTGCGAATCTTTTCAATCAGTTCTGTCAATTTGGTGTATATCCCATGTGACAATGGATGAGACCAGTCACCCACGACAAATTGATGGATCTTATTTCCGTGTTCGATATAACTACATCCAGGCAATCTAGCAAGACAATTTTCCTTCATTAATGCTCTCATTTCTGACGCATCTTTCCATAGACCAACCGCTGAGTATATATTTGAGAGCACAATATAATTTCTTGCATCCGAAGGGTCCAGATTAATCAATTGCTCTGCAGCTTCCTTTCCAAGTTCAGCATTTCTGTAAATTCTGCATGCACCGAGAAGAGCACCCCAGACCCCAGAATTAGGCTCCATTGGCATGCTTTTGATCAGCTCGTACGCATCTTTTAAGATACCAGAACGACCGAGGAGATCAACCATGCATGAATAGTGGTCTAATGTAGGCTCCACCCCATAAAATTCAAACATAGTTCGGAAGTACTGTTTTCCTTCTTCTACTAGCCCTGAATGGCTACAAGCACTTAATAGATGAGTAAATGTGACACGATCAGGATTCATACCTTTCTTAACCATGAGGTCAAAGAGAGCGACTGCTTCCGACCCATATCCATGAGCTGCATAGCCAGCAAGCATTGCAGTCCAAGCTATACTATCTGGATTTCTTATCTCAAGAAAAACTTGGTGTGAGGCAGCCAACCTCCCAGTCTTGGCATACAAATCCGAAAGAGCAGTCACGATCGACATCCGTCCATAGAACCCACGGCGACATATTACACAGTGAACAGACTCTACTAGTCTAATAGAACCTACACTTTCACATGCTTGAAGCAATGCCACCAGAGTGGCATCGTCAGGTTGAATTCCATTCCTTCTCATTAATTTAAAGCAACTGATCCCTTCCATTGGTGACTCATTTTCAGCATATGAAGCAATCATCGAATTCCATGAAACTGAGCTCCTCACGGGCATTATTTCAAACAAGAGACAAGCGGCACCCAATATCCCGCATTTTCCATACATGTTAATAAGAGAATTAACAACCTTTACCTCCATCAACATGCCCAATCTTTCTGAGAGCCCATGAATGGACCTCCCTTCAGCCAGAGCTTTCACATCAGCACATGATGAGATGACTGACACAAGAGTAACCTCATTGGGGTTCATAAAAGTCTCATTTCTCATCCTATGAAATGCATATAAACACTTAGCCAGGCACCCTCTACGTGAAAACCCAGAAATCAAAGAATTCCACGACACTAAATCTTTCTCGGGAATTTCGTCGAACAGCTTTTCCGCACGTTCCTCACAGCCCACTTCCGCGTACTTCGACACGAGCTGATCGCCGACGAATCCGTGGCTGTAACTCACCGATTTGAGGACTCGAGCATGAACCGCCCCGCAGCAAGACGCGGAGGAGCATTTGCTCAAGGCAGATATCAGAAACGACACGAGCGAGTCCGCATCGGAACAAGAATGAAGCCGGCATGACGGTGGGCGCGAGAGAGCATCTCGAGCCCTCAATGGGTGATTGTAGTTTTGGGTTCTGAAGTAAACGCGGGAGAGGTTGAAGAAGAGGACCGATGAAGGAGGGCATTTCGCTATCATGTTCCATCACTGAAATTCAAACATCATGCAGAACAAGAACAAGAACAAGAACAAGAAACAGTTTCACGACATTTTATTTGGTTGAAAATGTGTTCGGTGGTCCTATGAATGTCCGTTGGACGGTAAGTATTGTCCACCGTCAGATTAGAAACAGCTAATGTCAACCGTCCGATGGGTCTCGATTCAAATGCATCCCGCCTTCGTCTAATTAGTTTCTCTCGTCTATCCCAACTTCAAATGACCGCTCATCTTGCACAAAACAAAAGAGATGCCGTTACAAGTTTTAGTTACTTCTATGTTCAGTGGCACAAGCTGTCCAGTTGGAAGGAAGCCGGTCCGAAGTCGGGCTCGGCAGGTTGCGGACGTTCACGTCGAGGGGTAGCATCCGGTATTCGATCCCGTCCTGTCTGAATATCTCGATCATGTGTTCGATCAGGACATTTCTGCTAATCCACCTCTCTTTGGTGTTGTGATGCTTGACCTTGTGCACGAGCCACAGAATCATGGTTATCTTGTTCATGTCCTCTAGGTCCCTTATCAGGACTAATGGATTCGGGTGCCAGTGGTCGCTCCGGCTTTCCACATACCTGCAGTTTCCGCCGACAAATCAGCGCGGGTTAGTTGAAGTCATCAAGGAAACATTAGACCCAACATTACTGCACAAGATCAGGAATGTCAACATTGGACACCATGAGCAAGCAGAGAATGCTTTGATACTGCACTCCTAAGTAATCTAGGGTATGTCCTAATTCGTTTTTGCTGCTCTGGCATGGATCAACCTCATATTATACAGATTAAAGACGACACTAGCATAGTAAAAGTCCCGACAGGACGAAGAAAATGAAGTTGTGCACGTACTGCGTAATCTTCGTTTTCAACTTGTCGATCTTTTCCATGGGAGTGGAGATGTGCAGGCAAAAATTAATGGTCTCCAGCATCTCCGCACTGCGGTTGTAATTGCTTATAGCCTTGGTGGCCAAGATGCTGTTGGGGTATCTCATCTTCAGGTTGTCGAACTTCCGAAACACGGTGGTCAGTATATTCATCTCTTCAACAACCATCTGAGAATCAGAACAAAAGTGAGAACAGGAAAGATGGTCACAAAATTTAACTGGTGAGTACAGATCTTTCTGTTCCTAGGCACATACCGGCATTCCATCCACTTCGCAGAGATCGCCGACGTCGTACGGGTGCATCACGAATAAGAAGATTATAGCTTCGAACACCATCTTGCAGCTGTTCCCGAAGACGAAGGCCAACAAAATGAACTGCGAGCTTATGAAGACCAGGAACTGCATGATGGGTACCCCAAGTATGATGAGCCAGATGACGGCAATGATAATAGCGATGAGAATGTCGAGCATGTTGTGGAGGTCGTCGACGGCTGTGTTGGTGTCGTTGAGAGATCGCGCAAGTGCCGTTCTCTCTTTGTAGGCATTAATCTATGACAAAGCAAACTCTCAGTATTTTCACATGGCTTTAAGATGAGAGAGAGAGAGAGAGAGAGAGAGAGAGAGAGAGAGAGAGAGAGAGAGAGAGAGAGAGAGACTTGATCATATCAATAGTATTTGATGACTTATCCTTTGTAGTTTATAGGAGGAAAATGTTACTCACCACCCAAATTTCTAGAGATTTCTTGTCAATTTTACCACTGTCTTTGGCAACTCGGCGTATGAGTTTTGCAGCTTCATCCTTCTTCATGAAGTACGTCAGGTCATCAAGACAAATGAGCCTGTCGATGAAAAAAACGAAGACACTGTAAAGTGAAAGTAGGAACTGATGATCACTCAGCATCCTCAATTGGTTGTTGCGGTATACAGAATGTTACCCCCAACAAAAAAAAGCAAAAGCGACCAGAGAAAAAACACTTACTTGGACCCTGGTTGGGCCACATTGAGAAAAATCTTCTTGGCCACCTCTCTTGCCTGGCACACATTTCTGATCTCCATCAAAGACCCATCTTCCATGTTTGAATCCAGTATCTTCTCGTCCAGAGTCGACAGAGTCCCGTGCTGAATGATGTCCATCATCCTCCCAATACACCAAGCCGATGCGCTCTTCTGATTAATCCTCCTTCCAGCTAAATCTGTGCTTCCTCCAATCTGGGGACGGTTTGTCGATCTTCCACTCTGCCTCGATCTGCTGCCTTTTGGTAGAAGTGGTTCCCTGAGATCACCTGAAGCAGCATGCTGCAACTCTGTTGTCTTGGGAGCGTTGCCACATACCTGCTCCCCTGCATTGTACGTCATTGCTGCTTTCGCCGAGAGCGTCTCGATGACAAATTGATCAAATAGAGCCTCGTGAATCCGCTCGAAGTAGGTATTGACGTGGAAGGACGAAGCGAGGACCTTAACGAGGAGCGTCTTCAAGAGCCAAATCACCGATGCCACCAGGAAGCATACTAAAACCTTGGTCACATAGGACAAGGCACTGCTGCCATCCTTCTTTTCCATTTCGGAATTGAAAACGAAATGCCATACGAGCAAAACAAGGCCCAACCAGAGGCAGTTTCGCACCGCCCTCCATAGGCCATAGATGAAGTATAGAACCCTCCTGTGCAGTAGGAAAACCCGTTCGACGACTTTGACGACAACCCGGACCACACAACTGGATATTAAGCGTCCTGACACTAAAGCCAAAGTCATTGCTTCCCATTTCCATATCGGAAGATTCCACAGGGTTTGCCTCTTTAGACTAGGAATACTCAGGCTGCAAATCAAGGCAAGCACAATAATTAATAGAATCAAGCATTGGAGAATCATTAACTCGCCAAATTTCATCTTCTTCAGTTCTTCGGGGATATCTTCGGCCCAATCATCCTTGTGATCATCTGGTTGACACGGTTCCTTATCATGAACGTGAATTGACCGAGACTTCACCTTGCTCCAGATAGAGGTCCATGGGCTCTCGCGGGAAGAGTCGTCTGGACTGGATCTTGATTGAAAGCTTTGCTGGTCGGACGTGTCTTGGCTCTGTCGGCGAAGAACTTCAGTTAGTACTTCATGGAATGAGACACCGGGTCTCTTGAATGTTCCGGGAGTGTTGCTTTTATTCATAATGGTTTCTTTACTCGAGCTGTCGCCGCTTTCGAAATTCACTGCAATTTCTCCTCCATGGCTATGCAAACTGATGGACTGAGCCATGTGAAATCCTGGAAAGCTAGTATTTCTACAAGAGAAGTGCTTGTTTCACTCTTCACCTAGTTTCTGCTCTTGCTTATGCTTTTATGGACTTCCTTGAAAGTGACAATGATCTTACAAGTCCTGAGAAGTGATCTGCAACCGTTTGTGGAGAATATATGCGCCATTATTTTTGTTCTGGTCATAGTATATATGCTCCATTTCCTTAACATCTGTGTTTGTCTGATTTCAGTACAATGTTCTTCTTGTGAATGACACGCCAAAGGAGATCACTAATCAGAGCTTCAACACTGTAGAGCAAAGAACTTGACAAAAAGAATTGATTCCAATGAAAAGGAATGCTACAAATAGAACCTGAAGTGTCATCAAGAAGATCATGACATGAATGGAGCCCCATTAATCGATTGACAGAACACGCGACCACGGCACCGTGATCTGCGTGGGGAAAGCAAATCTTTGAGCAGTTAAGTCAATGGTCTCAAGCAGGCGAAGCTTCGAGTTTCGATGGCCATAAACGTGGAATCACGACTCCATTTACGCTCATCTAGAGAAAGATTACCAATCCCAGGCCAAATGAACGTGCGATTTCGGCTCGCAATGCGTGCTTCACACCGGATCCTAAATCAAGGGCGCATTTCTTCAACAGTATGCAGATCAGTCTAGCTGAGTTCCCTTCTTTTTTTAAACTTTTTTGTGGTTCCATGAACGTGAGTCTCGAGAGAATAATAAGGCACTTCAAGCATCAATCTCAAGAGATTCTCTTCTTCTTTCCGTTGTTCCTCTGCAGTCTCTGGTACGTGGCCAGAGAATGAGCATCAAGAATACTCGAAAGGAGAATGATGTCCCAACTTTTTTATTGTGGGGACTGCTAAGTCAAGTGCTGATCCACGGGCTTCATCCGTCAGCACGGACGTAATTTGTAAAACCGCGTGTGTTTTACAACTTCGATTCATTTTTATTTTTCTTCTTCCCATGAAGTGATACTTCGAGTGCATTTATTTCCTGAAAAACTCGCGATTCAGAAATCATTTTCCGAAAAATAATTGGTTATATTGCTTAGAAAAATTAGTCAATGGAGAATACTTTTGTAAGTGATTTGGGCGCGCAGCAAAAACCATATACCTTCACCCAGGGAGACCGCCAAAAGGAGCCCAAATCCGAGTATGTCAACATATCCAATTGGACCCGCCTTTACTCAAAAGTTTAAGTCAATAACTGTTCCACACCTTATCAATTCTCCTCGTGGGACTTCTTTAACGCAAGTCACACGTGTATATGAACAATCTCCCCTTCACGTGTGAACTTATGCTTCCCCTTAATTCAAGTATACTTTTGCATCAACTGCATCAACTTATCTCAACTTGAATATTCATCAATGCCCAACTTCATCCCTCATCTCTCTCTCTCTAAACCAAACCATGAAGTCTGTCATTGGGGCCGCGTTGCTACATCACAACACCCATTGCCTAGAAACCTCGTTGGAATCATAGAAACCTCGTTAGTCACCAGATTCCTTTATTGAGATGTTCACCAAACACCAGAGCAGATTGAAGGGTCCACTAATCTACCATCGGCTTTGATACCATTTATTGGGATACGCAGCAAAAACTCAATACCTTCACTCGGGAAGACCCCTAAGAGGGAGCCCAAGTCCGAACCCGTCAACATATCCGACAAGACCCACATTCACTAAGTTAATCAATTATAAACCAACCGGGATATATTCACCTCACATCCATCATAGAAACCTCGTTAGTCACCAGATTCCTTTATTGAGATATTCACCAAACACCAGAGCAGATTGAAGGGTCCACCAATCTACCATCGGCTTTGATACCATTTGTTGGGATACGCAGCAAAAACTCAATACCTTCACTCGGGAAGACCCCTAAGAGGGAGCCCAAGTCCGAACCCGTCAACATATCCGACTAGACCCACATTCACTAAGTTAATCAATTATAAACCAACCGGGATATATTCACCTCACATCAATTCTTCAACGTGGAACTTCTCTAAGTTTATCTCAACAAGTGATAAAAATATTTTGCATTCATTCATTTTTGTAAGCAATATAAACATTTATTTTTTGAAAAATATTTTCTAAATCTTGAATTTTTCGTGAAACAAACGCACCATATATTAGTATTTTGCCCAAATGGGCCAAGTCAGCGTACACTAGAAAGTAGAAACCATACCGAGCACTAAGGGTGCGAATAGTAACCATTCTGCTCCAGAAATCAAATTCTTGCCAGAAATTGATTTCTGGAGGAGAAATCTGTTTGGTAAAACATGACTAATTCTGCTCCAGAAATTGATTTCTGGAACAGAAATCTGTTTTGGTTTGTTGATTTTTTTTACATCTCAAAAAATTTAAATTTTACTCAAAGTGGGTGACCACAGGTATTATAAGCCATTCAGTAAAGTTTTGAATTTTTTGATTTTTTTAATTTTTTTTTGGGCACCTAAAAAAATTTAAATTTCACTCAAAGTGGGTGGCCACAGGTATTCTAAGCCATTTTGTGAAGTTTTGAATTTTTTTATTTTTTTAGGCACCTCAAAAAATTTAAATTTTACTCAAAGTGAGTGGCTACAGGTATTCTAAGCCATTCTGTGAAGTTTTGAAATTTTTTATTTTTTTTATTTTTTTTGGGCACCTCAAAAAATTTAAATTTCATTCAAAGTGGGTGGCCACAAGTATTTTAAGCCATTTTGTGAAGTTTTGAAAATTTTTATTTTTTATTATTTTTCTTTTTTTTGGGCACCTCAAAAAATTTAAATTTCACTCAAAGTAGGTGGCCACATGTATTTTAAGCCATTTTGTGATGTTTTAAAATTTTTGATTTTTTTTTGCACCTCAAAAAATTTAAATTTCACTCAAAGTGGGTGGCCACATGTATTTTAAGCTATTCTATGAAGTTTTGAAATTTTTGATTTTTTTTATTTTTTATAAAAAAAATTCACCAAATTTCATATTTTCCCGAAATCTGACTTTTTTTATTTTTTGGAAATTTTTATTAATTTTTCTAGAATTTTTCAATTTTTATGCATTTTCTGAAAAAAAAAATTTGTGAGAAAATAGGGAGAATGCATTCCGGAATCAAGAAGCTACAAAAAGTAGCTTCTCTTTTTGTTGCCAAAAACTCATTCTGGAATCAAGAATGCATTCTGGAATCAAGAATGCATTCTGGAATCAAGTATTTTTAACAAACGCATTTTTATTCCATAATGCAAAAATCGTTCCAGAATGCATTCCGGAAATTTTTTAACAAACGCCATTCTGTTCCACATTCCGGAACAGAATTTTTATTCCGGAATGCATTCCATGCGCACCCTAATTGGACGAGGAAAGTGCCGCTCATTTTACCCCAGGAATTTCATTGCAATAAATTCAGTCGGTAGAATTTTCGATCCTATCACATCAACCGGGCGGGCCGAATCGGATTTTAGTGAGGATGCAATCTCATAGAAAAAAAGACGCATATGATTTTTCAGGTCGAGCCAAGTTAAGCCAAAAGATTGACGCACCGGGCTTTTTAAATTTATATTGTCCCCGGAACCCGTGTTAGCAAAAATCTAATGTGAGGATTGGACATGGCCTTGTGATGTTCTTTTCTAGCCCAATTTCTTGGACATTGGGTTGGTACGATGTTGATGTACAATGGCCACTCATGAGAGTCAATGAGCCTAATAGACAGCTTCTTTTGGACACAAAGTCAACAGGCAGCCTCGGAGCCAGAAAAGAACCTTTTTTAGCCTTCAAAATCGATGAGAAAGTTTTCAGAAAAAATTTGGATTGCGCCTGAAAATAAGTATAAATCTACGTTTATGTGCGTCGATTTTAATCCAGATATATAATAATGTTATTAGCTCATAACCTCTTTGGCTTCTATATTTTATTTTCTCGAATCATGGAATTCTAGTACAATAAGATATGACACTCTGATGTGTCACTCTATAACTAAATAAATCTTTCGATTGGAAGAATATTAGAATTCAACCGTGACAAGGTACGATACCGTGATGTTATTTCATCCTTTGTTTTTTTTCCCTTTTCTTGTGCCACTTATTTTCTAGTGTAAACGCATCTCTTCGTTCTCATATTTTATGTCAAAGACAATATCGATAATTCGTTCAGCTATCATACCATTTGAACTACATGTCTTCGCTTAAATGTTTTTTTCATTTGTCTTTTTTCCCTTTTATTCTTCCACTTTTTACCTTATTTTCTGTCACGCCCTCAACTCAACAAGAAACATGGGCAATGACACAACCATCCTTTCACTTAAAAGACGCGCCCTCGAACCATACCCAAAGTCCCACTCCCAAAACACCTCGCAATATCGCTCTAACTTATTGGCCGTCAGACGAGAAACCTGAAAAGATTGAGACTGAAATGGGTGAGCAACCGCACTTAGTAAGTAATACATCTCTTCTAAGCAGGTTAAACATCCACTTTGCATATTTACAAAACTATACCACGCCCATTTAATCCAAATCCAGAATATAACAAACTTCAAAATCAAAATGAGTTATATGTTATTTCAACATAAAATATTCATAGCAAAAATACACATTTCATCAATAATATCAAAATAAATATCAATGGCCTGGTCCATTAATTAATCTTCATCAATTTACACGTCAATGGTCCATTTCATCAGCTAATCTCAAATCTAATGTCAATGATCTATTCCATCGACTACTCTAATACTCGATATCAAACTATAGTCATGCCTAATGCCCGTGATAAAGGTGACCAAGTTTACCTCCCTTTGTTAAGTCGACCACTTGTATCGGCCTGTGGTTTGGCTGACAAGGACGTCCTAACAAGAGTATGCATACTCTCCCCTCAACGGATTCTAATCATAGCAACAAAAGCATAAACGTCATTCTCCAATAATCCCACAATCAAAACATAATTTATCTCATAAATCGGTTTCACAAACTGAATCGTATCACCTTTCATAAACATACTCAAAATCAAGAGCTTTTTGTAATTTTTTCACAAAAAGGTTTCACAAATCTAAAATATATAATTTTCTCAACTCCGTTCAACTAACATAATATATATGTATTTTACAAGACATTTCTCACACCATCTTGGAATTCATCTCATAAACCAGTAACCTTTCGCAACGCCTTTTATAAAACATTTCTTAAACCATTCACAAATAATCGATAAGTAGTAAATGTCCGATCCATATTTTTATGCAACTAACATGCTCTTTCATAACTAATAGTATATTGAATCTCTATCGTTTTATTAGATTTTAAGACGCGAGTTTAAAAATTCATAGAAGATATAGCATTACTCAC